TCTCTGTGGGTGCCCCTGCCCTCTGGAACGAACTACCCCCCGAGATCCGGATTATTCCGGATCTCCTTACTTTCCGCCGCGCCCTCAAGACATGGCTCTTCCAACAAGCGGGCCTGGCCTAGGGAGGATTTTTAAATTGGGTTTTTTAGAAATTTTAATTAGCACAACACTAAAACATTGGTTTTAATTTGGTTTTATTTGGTGGGGTGTGTGGGTCTCTCTTTGTTTTTAATAATGTTGTGAGCCACCCTGAGTCCTTCGGGAGAAGGGCGGGATACAAATTGGAATAATAATAATAATAATAATAATAATAATAATAATAATAATAATAATAATAATAATTAATAATAATAATAATAATAATAATAATAATAATAATAATAATAATAATAATAATAATAATAATAATAATTATTATTATTATTATTATTATTATTATTATTATTATTATTATTATTATTATTTACTACTACTACTACTACTACTACTACTACTACTACAATTTTGGGCCAGTTGGTGAGATGGGATTAAAGTTCAAACAGGAGCAATTTTAAATGCTGTCTCCCATTTTGTTTTAATTTGTACGTAAAACAAGACCTTAAAACAAGAGATAAATGGTTTTCATGCTAAGGTATTTTCCAATTCTCTAAGTCACTAGCCCAGAAAATGTTTGTTTTGCTTTGCTCTTGACTTACGTCAAAATTATAAGAAAATATATCAATAAATGTCTGATCTTTGTCCAAAAAAAGCAAATATACTATCAACACAAGCAAATGTTAAGGCCACGGCTATCAGGGTAGACTGCAGTATTACTGAGAAATTAATTTTTGATAGAAAAATCTGCCATTTCCCTGAATCCCGAGCTGTGGTAAAACAAAGATGAAACCTTCCTCTCTGCAAATTAGTCTTCTGAATTGTGAATAAGGCATTAATTCACTTATTTTTAGAAACACACAGTTTTTATGTGTGAAGCAGTCTTGTTGACACCTCTCAGAGAAAATAAATCACCAACATTCACGGTACTGGGTTTTTGCCAAGTACCAAATATAGGAGAGAAATTCCTACTTTTAAAAATTCATCTTAACGATACAGCCATAATGAGCTACAGTGGTCTTTTTATCAATCCCGTGTATATCTCACAGCCACATCTTGTATTTCCTGCAGAAAAGCTGGAAGAGTTTATTGTGCAGGACAGCTCCAGATACTTTCTGTTTTACCCCATCCTACTTTTTTTTAAATCTTCGTCAGCTTTTTGCCAGCCTGGAACATTTCAGCAACTGCCATTTTGCACAGCCAGCCCAGCAAAGAAACAGGCAGTGCAACTCTGTACAGGTCTACTCAAAAGTAAGTCCACTCATTCTATAAGATTTATTTCCAGGTAAAAGCATTGAGAATTGTAGCTTAAGTTAAAGAAAAAGAACATCATTATCTGTTCACAAATCGCCGAGGCAAATTATTATTTAGTTCTAGTATCTGCAGTATAAAGAATATTACTCGATTCCTCTTACAGCAGCCTTGCCCAGGTTGGCGCCTGCTAAATGCACAGCCGTATAATTTATGTAAAATTCCTATTGCTCATGGGGTCTGACTATTATGGGATCTGCACTCCAAGTCGTCCGTTAGGGAAAGTAATCCTTGCAACCATACAGGGCGGCTGCAAGGATTACGAGATAACCACGTCAGACGTTTGCCAGTGGTGTGCGAGCGTGTTTTCCCTTCGTTTTCCGCTTTACTGCTGCGAAAGATTCAGAGCTCTGCTTTGGGAAAGATTACTTTGCTGCCTCTTGTAGCCCTTCAATAGATGAAGTGCTTTTAACAAGGAAAAACTCTCGCCCGCTTTGACTGTTCCTTATCGAAACGGCCTTTAAACCTCGACCCGCAATCGTTTAAATCGCCTTCCCCCCTCGTCCCGTGTCGTAATTTACTCCAAATATTAAGAGCCCGAAGTTCTTCGCTCGCTTCCGGCCGCATAAATGAAGAGTAAGCGCCTCTTTTTTTAAAAAAAACAAAACGATAAACAATACGCTTTTAAGGCAGTTAGCTTTGAGCCTCAAATCCTACCAAAGTTTAGTTGTAGAGAGAGGCGCGCTCCTCGGACTCCCTTCACTTTGAAGGAGATCGAAACAACTTTTGAGCAGATTCAGTTTGGCTCAAGCTTTGCGAAAATGTTACTGCATTTCCAAACTCAGCCCAGGTAGATACTTAAAACACCCAACTAGAGTCCTCCGCGGCAACCTCAGCCCCACGCTCCGGATGCCAGTCCAAATGCCAACGCGGGGCTTCGGCGTCGCTTGGAGCGATTCTTACCAATGTGCCTCACGAGAGCGGCAAAAGGCACGAGAGCGGCTTTGCCCGTGGACTCCTCCTATGCTAACCTTTCCTATCTCTACGGTTCCTCTCCCAGACTTCGGAACAGCCATGAGCGCCGAGACTCGCAACCGCCAGCAGACTCTGGCTTTACGGAAGCAGTTCATTGGGTAGGTGCGGCGGCGGCGGCGGATGAAAAGTCTGCCGGGGGGGGGGGACGGAGGACGCTGCCCTTCCTGTGTCGTAAAGTGCGAGGCGCCCACCTACTCATTTCGCAGTGAAGGGGGAGCCGCTGCAATATGCCTGCGCTGCGCTTCCGCTGCTGGCGTTTGGCGCGACGCTTTGGTCTTCGAGGGCGCCTGGCTGCTGCAGCTCGTCCCGCAGTGCGGATCTAAAGGGGGCAGCTGCGTAGATCCGCTTTATAAGCCCCCGAGATGTTCACCCATAGGGTCAACCTGATGATCCCGCGCTGCCGACATTTATTTCTATCTCCGTCTCGAGGATTTCCCTGAAAGTCGAGTCAGCAACAGAGAATGGTCTAGCTCAGGGGTAGGCAACCTTGGCTCTTTTATGACTCGTGGACTTCAACTCCCAGAATTCCTGAGCCAGCATAGCTGGCTCAGGAATTCTGGGAGTTGAAGTCCACGAGTCATAAAAGAGCCAAGGTTGCCTACCCCTGGTCTAGCTAGTACGTCTAGGCGACGTGATTCTTCCCCGGAGAACGAGCAGATAATTGAGTGTGGATCTAATTTGAAAACCCAGTGGCTGGTGTGTTTAGATATAGGAGGGTAAACACAAGTAAACTTTATAAGGAAAGGCGTTTTGTCCTTCTATGTGATCTACTGCTATATACAAGGACAGTTCAAGGTACATCTCTGTAAATCTCTTGCTCTTGGTGACACCAACAAGTATTGTAAGGCATAATGACTGTAATTCGGAAGCTGGGATATTTGCATTAGGAGCATGCACACTAAAAGCCAATCTGCGATGCTGGCCTTTGGTTGAAAGTTACACAACTCCTCTCATTGCTAGTGGCACAGTGAAGCATGGTCATGCGGTAGGAGTTTGAAAACAACTAAGAATAGGCATCTCCAAAACATGGCCCACAGGCTGCATGTGGCCCTGGACCACTAGTAAGGCAGTCCCACAATGTATTTGATTTATATACATTAACTATCTTATATGTTTTATATGCAGTGAAAGACCATTCCTATTCGCTCAAAATGGCCTAGGCAAGCCAAAAGGTTGGATACCCAACCTATAGACAATAGGGAATCCCACTTCTACCCATCTTGTACTCATTGCTTCCATCAAGCATCTTCACTTGAATTTCCTGGGAAGTCTATTGTGAAACCTTGTCTCAGTATCCAATACACCTGTAACTGGCTGCAAACCTCAGAAATATGTAAGTCTGTTAATAGCATTCATCAAGAGGCAGCTTATTTCCATACCTAGGCCACATCAGTAGGTAAGTCCATCAATGCCAGTAGTCCTAAAAACAAATGTTGCCTTGCCTCAAGTAACAATTGCTTGGGAACTCTGCAGGGGAGGGGTATGCCGCTAATGCATTGGGAGTACCCCAGAGGCATTTAGTTAGTCACTGTGAGAAACAAAATGCTTCGAGAAAGGGTTTGCCCTGATCCAGCAGAACTATACTATACTTATGTTGTTAGAAGTAGTATTTTCAGTACAGAGTCTTCAACTTATAACCACAACTGAACCCAAAGGTTTTTGTTGCTAAGGGAGACATTAGTTGAGTTTTGCCCCTTTTTAGGACAGTTTACGATAGTTGTTGCCCCATTCTTGCCACAGTTGTTAAGCAAATCACTACAGTTAAGTTAGTAACATGATTGTTCAGTGAATCTGGCTTCCCCACTGGCTTTGTTTCTGAGGGTCACAAAAGGTGAATATGTGGCCCTGGAACACTGTACTCATTATGAGTCAGTTGCCAAGTGTCTGAATTTTGATCACGTGACCATGGGGAGGCTGCAATGATCGTGTGAAAAATGGTCACTTTTCAATGTTGCCATAATTTCAAATAATCACTAAGCAAACTGTTTTAAGTCAATGACTACCTGTATTACTCACTGTCACATCTCCTGCAAATATACATTAAATGTCACCTCAACAAGTTCCTGACTTTGCGCTTCTGTTAAAATGTCCACAGATCAATTATATATATAAAGGATTGTATTCAGAAATATAATTGTGCTAAAAATTCTTAACAGAAAGCAACTTTTAGCTGCTCAAATTACTTGCAACCAGGCATGTCTGACTAAACTCAGTTCAAAAACATTTTCCTTAGAATTTGATTAAAGAGGATATATTATTGTATCATTGTAGCTAATTAAACAGTTTTGTTTGTGATTTATTACCTCAAATATACAATATATTGGTGGTAGAATTTTTAATCTGTTCCAATTAAGTTTATTTTTTTTATCTTTCTTTAAAGGTCATCCTGCAAGCTTTTTTTTCCAGAAGATCCAGTGAAGATTATCCGGGCAAAGGGACAATATATGTATGATGAAAATGGAAACCAGTACCTTGACTGTATCAATAATGTTGCTCATGGCAAGTGTGAAATTATGTTCTCTTTAGTAAACTCTCTTAGGTCTAAACTTTGTAGTCAGGTAAATTTAACTCCAGTCCTTTCTAAATTGTCAAAATGTTTGTTTCCTTTTCCATGATTTAATTTGTCCATATCACCCAGCAGCAGTAGTAGATTTATGTGGCCTGTGTTTGCTCTCATAGACAGTATCTGCACCCATTCATTCACTTCATTCAAACCCTGCAGGATGAAAATAAAATATGCTAACAATGATTCAGGACAGAATTATTTAGAAAAATAAAGGCTATAGTTGATATTTAAAATTTTGGGTGACCGAGACAAAATGGTAGACAGGAGGCCATTCTACTTTTCTGTGAAAGTGCACCCCTAGCAAGTATATCCAATAACTCAGGGGTGTCAAACTGCTGGCCCCCAGGCTGGATGTGTCATGCCGAAACCGAGCCCACCCTATTACCGGCAATGGAAAAAAGTCACGATACATCGCGACACGTCACGTGACGTTGCAAGTTTGGCACCCCTGCGATAACTGAAGTGATATCATTAAATTCTGCCTTTGATTTTCCAAGATTAGGCTGGAAATCTAACAAGTGAGGAATTATATACAGTCTTTAAATAATTCATGAATGGTCACTGAAATTGCTATATTCCCATCCTTATTTTTCAGTGGGGCACTGCCATCCTGAAGTGGTCAGAGCAGCTCATCAGCAGAATCTACTGCTAAATACAAACTCTCGGTATCTGCATGACAATTTGGTGGATTATGCACAGAGACTTTCTAAAACATTGCCGGAGAAGTTGTGTACCTTCTATTTTTTGAATTCGGGGTAGGTTAAAAACAGGCATCTTTATACCTTATTTGCAGAACAAGTGAACTGAAATTTGTTATCACCTCACGGAATTGTTTGTCAGGATAATCACGTCTTTGTTTCTTTGATATTTATATTATTTCAGTATTTGTTCCTTTAACCAGAATGAATGAAAATGTCTTTTCCATTTTTGCAAAAAAAAAATGACATTCATATTTTCCCATATTTTCTATAATCAAAAGGCTTTTAATCATACATTAGCAACCATAATGAAACACTGCATATAAATAACTGCAGAATTCTCTTTTATAATTGTTTATTGTATCTGTATTTTTTCTTTTATCCATTCAACTAAAGTTTATTAAAAATTACATACATCTAATACTGCTCATATTTTCATACCAGTATGCCCTCATTTCATACATATGAAACCATTCAGGTTTATAGATGACTGAATATGAACAATGAGAAAATTCAGAATTTTCCATTACAGATCAGAAGCTAATGATCTTGCTCTTAGACTGGCACGGCAATATACAAAACATAAAGACGTTATTGTTATTGACCAGTAAGTATATACAATGTTTTAAATAGCATTCTATTACTATGTCCAATTCAGCTAGCAGCATCTAATCAACCTTAACTGAACTTGGAAAAACCTAAACAGGATCATGCCCAGAACTTGGACAGGAAAATGCTGCCAGGGAATCTGAGGGATATAGGTTAGATTAGGAAGTCTTTAAAGAAGTATGACAAAGGGGTATTAATCACTTCCATGCTGTTCTCTTAAAAAACTGTAAGAACATGCTTTTATAATTATCAGGTTTAGTTTGGCTCAAGAGTATTTTCTTTCAATAATAACTGGAGTCACAAACTCTGTGTTTCTGAAGTGAACTTTTAAATATTATTTAACCTATATTTCATAGTAAGAAGTATTTACCATTCTATCAGTATCAGAATGGTAAAGTTTTTTAACGTTCATGTTTTTTAACTTGAATCCTGCTATTCTTCCAAGAAGCCAAGATCAAACAAACTGAATTCCTAATCTAGGTACATTCATTTAATTTCAAAGCTAAGTGTACGTGATCCTAAAGACCATATTTTGAATTACAAGTTGCATTTAATATACATATGTATAATCAGAGTAGAATTCTGAAAATGTATCTTTATGGGAACTGTTTGCTTTCTAGGACATCAGCTGAAATATGTGAAAGTGTTATAAATTAGAAAGTAGGTTTACAGTTTGGCAGTCTGGATGTGTACAATTTTCTGGTGCTAATATTAAACCAAGGTAGAATTTATGTATTTCTGTGGATTATTGTGTTTTGTTTTAAGTGCTTATCATGGACATCTGACATCTTTGATTGACATAAGTCCATACAAATTCAGAAATCTAGATGGCCAAAAGGAATGGGTCCATGTGGTAGGCATAAGAGACTATATTAACCCTATCCCTGTTAATTTCCAATTCACCTAAAACCAAGTGGTCTAATCAACTATTAATTTTTAATAGGCTCCTCTTCCTGATACATACAGAGGATTATATAGAGAAAATCATAAGGATCCAGCCACAGCATATGCTGATGAAGTGAAAAAAATAATTGACATAGCACACCAAGAAAGCAGAAAGGTAAATATTGTCTTTAAAGTTTCTGTATTTATCATTTTGTGTTTCTTTTTAACTAACATGAATTTAGTCAGTTATCCAGTGTGCCATTACAATAGAGTCTTCTGTCTATCAATTAACAAGTCAGGAAATTTTGGAAAAAAAATCATTCATTATAATTTCTTACATTTTGCTCCAGACAACTCTCCAAGCAAAATTGAGTAATGTTCTTTTATCCTAAAGAATCTTAGTGGAATATCATGTTCGAAAAGAAAAAAAAAATACATTGTTGGCTATAATTCATAGCTCTTGGCAAAAAAAAAAAAAGTTCAAATGTACACTGTTGTTTGGGTAATTCCAGTTTCTTACGTATTATAGTAGTTGTTACTCAACTATGGTACCTAAGATATTTGAATTAGAAGCTTTAATATATCCAAAAGGCAGATACATGCACATATGTATACCTCTACTAATTATGTTATATACATTTTTAGTTTGCTGCACTTTTTGTAGAATCCTTGCCTAGTGTTGCTGGACAGATCATTCCACCATCTGGTTATTTCCAAAAGGTTGCAGAGTAAGTATTCATACTTAACTTTTCTTCTGCTTTTTTTCTAAACTGTTTTTAAAGATTTTTTGTTTAGAGGAAACTTCAAGTTTAAGGACTTTAAAAATATTTAACTTCTGCAAGAGCCAGTTTTAATTCCCAAAGATTTCAGTAATTAAAACTGAAATGATTTAACTTAACAAATATTTAATTTTCTTTGGTGGGATTTTGTTTTTGGTTGCTGTTGCTTAATTTTGGAAAAAGTGAATTGTTGGAGATATTTTTGTTTTAACCCTAAATTTAATAAGATCTGTTCCATTTCTGCATAAATATATTTCTTGTTCTTTTAATAGGCATATACACAAAGCAGGAGGTGTATTTATTGCTGATGAAATTCAGGTTGGCTTTGGCAGAGTTGGCAAACATTTTTGGGCATTTCAACTTCAAGGAGAGGATTTTATTCCTGATATTGTTACTATGGGAAAGCCAATTGGGAATGGACATCCTGTGGCTTGTGTAGCAACAACGAAGGAAATTGCAGAGGCATTTTCAGCAACAGGAGTAGAGTATTTTAACACAGTAAGTAGTCACCCACATTTTCATTCTAAAATGCATCTTAGTGTAGCTTGAGTATTACTATGTATTTAGTATATTTCATGTATAAGGTATTTTCCAGATTGCCACTACAATATATAAAATTCTGACTGCCATATGCTTTTGACAAACAATTTTGTGTAGAAAATTTATTTTAACTTTTATTTCTCCCTCCCATTCATAGTTTGGAGGAAATCCTGTGTCCTGTGCAATAGGCCTAGCAGTCCTGGATATTATTGAGAAAGAAGAGCTTCAAACCCACGCTCTTCATGTGGGAAACTTCTTTATGGAACTACTCAATCAACAAAAAGCTAAACATCCTCTAATTGGAGATATCAGGTATCAATTTTAAAACATTTACCAATTATTTAATATAAGCAGCATATACTTGCCACATAGTTCTCAGTTTGTTAGCAGGCTTTTAGCAGTCCCAAATTGCAAAATTTGTTTATTGCAACTTCCAATTAATCAGTGGAACAACTTGCCTTCAGAAATTGTGAATGCTCCAACACTGGAAGTTTTTAAGAGATTGGACAACCATTTGTATGAAACGGTATAGGATTTTCTGCCTAAGCAGGGGATTGGACTAGAAGGCCTCCAAGGTCCCTTCCAACTCTGTTATTCTATATTCTAATTGTAACTTCATGTTTTTGCCTTGTTTTACAGGGGTGTTGGACTATTTATTGGTGTAGATTTAGTACAAGACCGAGAGAAAAGATCACCTGCTAGCAAAGAAGCAGAATTCATCGTAACAAGGTAAAAGTACTTTGTGATGTTTTGCTTATTTGCTTGGACAGTTTAATTAGAAATATCCCTATTCCAGATTTCTAATTAAATTTTCCCAGCCAATAACCAAAGCATCTCAGAATACACACAAAAAATAGTTTAAGAATGAAAAAGTTAGAATATCTTAATGATTTATTGGTAGTGGTAGACAGATGAGTACTTCCCATTTTACTTTTACCTTCTATCTCCCTAAATAATCTGTGAACAGTACCTTCACATTTCACAAGTGAATTACAGATAGAAAACTTAGCAGTTTGCACATCTCTTTTCCGTTATGTATGCAGAATTGTACATGCAATGTACAATAAGTTACTATGATTTCCCTAGATTCTGCTTTTCTCTTTGGATGTATCAATCGGGCAGTTCCAATAGTAGTTTTTAATCTTGAAGAATAAAAAATGGTCACTATGTTTAAGACATGATCTGACCCCAAAAGAGAATTGGATTTGCTTTTAGCAGTTTATAAGGTACCTTTGGAACAGATGGCTTGGTGCATACTAGTTAACACTAGAATGTTCTGTATCTGAAAACCAGAGTTTGCATCCCCCCATTTCCTCCCTAGCCGCCCTAGGTATATTTTCAGACATGAATGTTGAATTTATCAACAGAACAGCTAGTAAGTTTGATTATATGTACTAACTCAGAAGTTTGATTATATATACTAACTCAATACTCAAGGATTGTTACATTGTTTAAATCCTTCTACTACTATGGAAAGAACAAACTCTTTTACAGTTTTCCATGTGTTAAGGACAGCTATAATATACTTTCAAAGAATAAATACTGATCTGAAGTATAAAAGAAAGGGGTGGGAGAGATGAATTATTGGATAGGATGGATTTATTGTTTAGTGTCCTTTTGGTCTTTCGAGACTGGATCTTGAATTAAGGAATTAACACCTCTTTAGGTAAGAAAATAAAGAACATCCTTCCTATATCCAGGGAACCCCCAGTCTAAGAACTGCATTCAATCCGTGATCTCATATTTTGTGACCAATTTTTCAAAAATTGCGTTCAATCATTACAATCAAGATATCAACCATGAAACATGTTAATATGCTTCTCCAACTGAAAACTCCACTCCCTTCACTGAGTACTGAGTTTCCCCGAAAGTAAGACCTACCCCCAAAATAAGCCCTAGATTGATTTTTGGGGGTGGGCCTAATATAAGCCCTATCCCCCCCAAAAAGCTCTAGTTTTGGGGAGGCGCACGCCTAAAAATCAAGCTAGGGCAGGCGGGGGGGTGGAGTTGCCCCATGCACCCCATACCCGCTTATCAGGCCTCCCATGAATCGACACTTGCCATTCGTCGCCAGCCCACTTCTGTGGTGTCCCCTGGACTGCATTTCATAGTCAGAAGCCTTCCAGAAAGGCCTCTGACTGCGAAATGCAGGCCCGAGTTCCATTCTCAGCTGCAGAATGAAGCTGCTCCTTCAGCCCCAGAAGAAGTGGGTCGGCTGGGTGGGGCTGTTGGTGCCGCCACCGCAAGGTGAGTGGAAAAGACCCCCCCCCCAAATAAGATCTGGTGCCTCTTTTGGAGGCCAAAAAAGAGACCTGGTCTTATTTTCGGGGAGAAACGATTATTTGTGTTAGCCAGCTGATGCTTTAAAGGCTTCCCATTTGCACTAGAGACCTGCACCCTCTGCTAGGTAGAATAAGATAAGGTTTTCCTGATGATCTAGGTGGATGAAGTAAGGTGTTTGTAACAATAGACTCTGCCAGTCCCTATTCAGTCCTTCTAGGAAACCTTAGGTGCTTGATGATATTGTGTGTTTCTTGCATCATCTCTGGAAGGCTTGCCAGCCCATCTGGTAGATTCTGACAGTAGTTGGGCATCTTGAGGGAAGGAGAATGTCAACTATTGGGCCCAATCACTTAGTTCCAGCAAGGTTTCCAGGTCGTTTGCTTCGCTGCTGATATGTGTCAGTGTTGATAGGAACACATAGAGTAGGGCTGGAAGTTACAAAGCCTCAATTTCTTCTGTCTTGGAAGCAGGAAATTTGCATTGATCCTTTTTGCTGCTGCTTTTCTTAAGGAAATCAACTCCAGGATATCCCATATTGTGATCTGCTTCATAACCTGATGAATTCATTCTGACCCTTAAATGTTCAACACCATTCTCTCTTAATTCCTTTTGGGAACCGTGAATAAAATGGGGAAAATCCTGACAAGAGTTACTTTGATGGTATCCATTTTATGGTTCTGACGTTTTTGCTAATTCTTGGTGGCTTGGAACATCCTGGAGATGGTAAAAAATTCTCTCTTAAGTCTGCCAGCTTGATTTTGGTGGAATCCTATGCATATCAACTTATTTATTAGAAGGCATCTTTTCTGCTGGACTTTTCTCCTATGATGAGTTTAGAGAGATGTGTCATAGTGGTTGTAAACTGCAGGGCCATCAAGCTATTTTCAGCACTGCTCAATCTTTGCTATAACAATTGGATAAGGATTTCCTCTAAACGTAATCTGGTACTACATTTTTGTACTTGCTTTTTATCAGCACTTGTGTGAGCAACTTTCAAAATAGTTTTCATCTCAGGAAGGGCTTGTATGTGACCTGATCTTGGACAGGTGAGCCACATCTGTGTTTAACTAGCACCAGACCACAACATGCAATTGATCTTGCAGTTCCAGATCCCACTCTCTGGTATCTTGAATTTACTGATTATGCTGAAATAAGAATCTTTCCCCAAGACTATTGAAGGAGCCCACTCTGATGTGTGTCCCTTATTCCTCAGCTAGCTTGCTAGTAGGTTTTTGTGAGGAGGGGGAGCAGCAAACATTTTCTGAGATTTGGTCTACTTTTCTTTCCATCTCTACATATCATTGCCTGTTATTACAGCTGATAAAGAAATAAAATCCACCCTTTTCCTGAGGCAACTGGACTCTTTTTTCCCTCTTTGAAGATGTTTCGCTTCTCATCCAAGAAGCTTCTTCAGCTCTGATTGGATGGCGGGGAATAGAAGGATTTATTCCTTGCAGATAGCTGGTCATTTGCATTTTTTTAGAGTCACTGATGCCACCTGGAAGATTATCTGTGTCACCAGAGTCACCTGAGTAGTGCAAGAAGCTGAAAAAGCTTATTGGATGAAAAGCAAAATGTCTTCAAAGAGAAAAAAAAGTCCAGTTGCCTCGTGAAAAAGCATCTTTGGAACAACCATGATCTGGATGACTGAGAATCTCCACAGAATGAGATCTACCTTGTCTCGAGACAGAACCAAGACTGAAGAGGGTTTCCTCCCACAAAGGGGAAAAAAGCAAATTCTTGACCCTACCGTCATTTAAAGAGTAATTAATCCTTTCAGATTGATTCTGTAATTCTAGTAACAGAGGCCATGACATGTTGAAAACCGTGCTTACCTAATGAGGTAAGGCAACTTTAAAGGGGACTTTATGATTTTTCCATCTCCAGCTTTAAAGTATTTCTGGAACATGTAAGCTTCTTGGTCATGCAGGGTCTCACTGCCATTGTGAGAGTGGCACTCCAGACAAGAAGTCTACAGTTTTAAAGAAAAATGCCAAATCCTGCCAAAAGTGATAACCAAAATCCCCATTGTGCCCCAAAATTGATAAAGCTCATATATCATTGTAAATGTGATTTATATGACCATACTAATCTAAGTAGGTAACTTATACTTCTTCTAAAATCAGCCATTTTTTTCTGGTTCTCTAGATTAAAGGAAGAATTCATTATGCTGAGCACAGATGGGCCAGGCAGAAATGTGCTTAAGTTCAAGCCACCACTGTGTTTCAATACAAAGGATGCAGAGTCAGTAGTTGATAAACTTGATGTGATATTAACAGGTAAGTAGAGGAAAGCTCTTTAAAATTGGTTTATATAACAGATTGCCTATCTGGTATGCTACAGATTGAACTAAACCTTCTTAAATAAAGCATTTAATACATAAGCAATAATGTCAAAAGGTTTTGCAGTCTGAAAGCCTGTTCTAAGAATATCAATGAATTTGCCAGTCCTCTTTCTCAAGCTATTTCTTTCCAGAAAGAGGCAGCTAAACTAAAATTATTGTATTTTGTTCTATGTGTACAGTTTACATATGCAAAATTACATAGAAGCTCTTCTATATTGAACGACTTTCCTACTAAATTCTTTTCACCTTTTGAGAATGCACCAATTAGCACCAATTATTATTTTTCTCCCAGAGTAGACATCACTGTAATGAAAAAACAAGCATGGGTCTAAATGGAAGAAAGTTTTTAACTTTATGATCGTCACCTTTAATCAATCCTATTTTCCATTTTAGATTTTTGGGGGAGGGAGGATATGAGAATAAATATAGTCTGAATCAGCAAGAAGACCACTAGGAATATTTTTGTGCCACTGGAATGAAGGATTTTCATTCCTGATTATATGCAAATACTAATTCTGGCCCATGAAAAATGGGTAGGCAACAATCATATTCTAATTGAATATTCTGCAGAATTGGAGATAAGAAAAACCTAAAGATGATGATTTCCAAGGCTACAAGAGGTAAGCATTCACATACTATTATATACAAAAAGCAGAAGCCATTAATGTCATTATCCTGAATAGATACTATTGTATCAAATCATATTCCAACAATATATAGTCAACAGCAGCATGTCAAACATAAATTATGAAAAATTTAATTTGCTGGCTTTCCCATGTGAATACTGAATTCTTTCATTCATCTTTTACAGGATACAAGCATGGTGCAGAATTTTACCATTTTTCTACACTTAAACTACAATAATAAAATTCTGACTTCTTCAAGCTTTCATAATCCAGTCTATGTAGTTTTGTTGTATTGCTGACGTTTTTAGCAATAGAGCTCCGATTTTTTAGAGCTCTGTTGCTATTATCTCCACTAATGCAACTTTTAATATAGTAGAGAGGAAAACCTATATTTTATCCAGAAAATATAACTTGTCATCCTTGTGCTATACAGGTTACAGGACTATATATATTCTTATTTCTATTTATATTTCACAATTAGCACCTTTGATCCAATAAGTCTATTTTCTTTATAACATTTTATTAACAAATCAGTAGGAATCCATTATTTAGTAAATACCCAAACATTACACTCATGAGAATTGTTTGTTTTTTTTTGTAAGATTTTTTTTAGCATCTCATAGAAATGTTTTATTTACTAAAGAAAATCAGTATGTCACCAACATGGATAACCTATTTTTATTTAGAAAGCATAGCTTTCCCATTACAGTAATTCAGGAATAAAGGGGAATTTTTATTTTAAGAAGCTGACAGATCAAGAAGTATTTATACCAAAAATGTTGTAGATAATACATTTTTTCATTTTCATTCATCATTTTCAGATGAAAAGCAACCCATTTTCTAAGGACATCCTAACAACTATTATCTTCAAAGATATTAACTTTCTGTTTTTCTGTAGCATTAAGATGAAATTCCTTTGCTAAAGATAGTTTTGCTATGTTTCTTTCAGTCATAACAGTATCAGATTGGTACCTCTTATTTTTCCATAAGCAGTTTCTTTCCTCTCTTAGCTACAGCTAAATCTCTGTATTTCACTATGAAATGCATTTTCTATTGTAAAATCCTGTTTATGTTTGCTATGTCAGGCTCTAATGTTTCAAATCCTAAGATCTGTGACTTAAAGCAAATGAAAACGTATTTTTTAAAAATTTGGTAAAATATGCTTAACAGAATTTCAATTCCCCTTTACCCTATACATTAATAACAAATAGGCTTACTTGTCAAAACATGCAAAATATAGTACTAGCATTCAACTATCTACACGTGTACCAGTCATAAAACTGTTCCATTCTTTGGGGCAAACAAAACACATAGGATGAAAACAATATTAAAATACTCAAAAGCGAGTAAGGTTGGAAAGCCCACAGTCACATCTGTTACAGAGAACAAAATTGCTATCTTTTAAGTTTCTTAGCCAGGGAGAAGACAGATAATTGTAATTCTATTGTAATGTGAAAATTTCTTTCAGGAACTGCTGGCTCTCCAATTGACTAGTGACAGTCAGAAACTTTGAACTATATCATAATATCTAAATGAATTAGCAGTTCCAGACGTAACTCAGATGTACGGTTGCCTACTTCTACCACTATAGCTCATAAGTTCTAGAGTGCGGTAGTTAATAGTTTCACCTTCAGAAGAGCTATTTAATTCACCTTCAGTTAGTAGGATTTGACATTCTAGCAAATAAGACTTGATAATTTCCCCATATCATAGTGGACATCTTTGTAAGTAGTTAGGTATATTTTCGGTAACCTTTTAATTTCTTAGAGAACACAATTCAGCATGACTAAACTATATATTTTTAACTGTCAAAAGCAAAACTCATTTTCATTTTCAAGCCTTATTTGTTACTATTCAAGTGCCCTGACAAGCAAACCATGCAGATTACCATATAAAAATGGTCAAAAATTAAATAACTGAAGCCAGTCCATAGCTGTTGTTAAATGATCTTAAACAATGAGTTCTAATTTGGGGTTAATATTTATTATTATACAATTAAAATGTAAGTTCATAACAGATTATTTATCCCATGGATAAGTGACTGTGTTGTCTCTACAGAGACAACTTCCTCTTCCAAACCTAGTTTTAACCATGGCTGTTAAACATGTAATTAAAACTTCCATTAAAACAGAGCTGTCATTTTAATATCTTTAAGCAAGAAATTTTTATTCTAAATAAAAATGCATTATATTCTTCTCTCCATGTCTGAGCTTATACTTAGCTAAGACAAGCTATATTGTTGGAAACTTTAAATGTAGAATTTAATGTACTTATAGTGCATTAAAAATCTTTACCCATATTTGACAGCAGGACTGCTATCAGCTATTATCTACTGAAAATAGAAATATAACTACAAAATAGCTCAGGATAAGCTTGGAAGAAGCTATAGAATAATTTGAAAAAAACTTGGAAACAGTACTGAAAATCCAATGTTTACGCAGCTTTAATATTTGCTTAATAATTTTAGCATGAAATGTTTAATTTCTAAATACTAATAAAACACATAAGAGTACAAAAGCCAGTCAGATTGACAGATTTAAGTATGATCAATGAACCTAGGGAAGTTTCAAATGAGTGTACTACATAAGCATCCAGGAGTTTTGTACATATGTTATTGAGCATGTTTTCAGATTTAAATTGAACTTGCATATACAAAAAAGCAGACTATAGTGTAAGCATGTCTAATATTGTCTTGTGTGTGTAAATACAGCCTTGAACCCCTCAGTATTTTAGGTATTTAATTCTACAAATTTACTCCTAAATTCCTATGACCTTTATTCCTACACAATAATACACTATTCTTAATCCTAAGATTTTCCTGAAATATAATACTTGTTCTGCTTCCTGGTTTTTCCTACCTCAACAATACTTTGAATTTGTGATTAAACAATTAAGTTTTGCTGGTCTTTCATCAATTTTAGGGTTAAAACATGCTCTAAATCCAATTTCTAAGATTTACGCATCCAACCAGCCACCAGCATTTCTAATGAAATTCTAAGGCTTCTTTTCTCTGAGCTACAAAAGGATAGCTGGAATAATGGCACAGGATACTGTATTATGCTTTTTTATTCAAAAGCTAGAATAGCATCAATATCCATGTCATGGTGAATCAGAACACATGTAAAATACCTTACAATACATTAGATTCCAAAAAGGTACCAAAAAGTACAGTAAAATTAACACTTCCATTACAGGAAATGTATGACACAAAACCAATACAAAATAAAAAGGTGGAAAGTGATACTGGTTCCCTAAGATGCATCTCATTCTGTACAACTGGAATAACGTAGTTAACTCCAACGGGCAGTCCCTAGATGCAGAAGCTGCAGCTTTAAGCAGACCCTCAAAATCATTTCAATTTAACCTATCAATAAAATCATTAATCTTCAGCAAGGCTGAAATTTACACACCACACTCTCTAGACAACTATTATCTGTAAATATTAAACAAAAGACATTTCCAGGGAAGTCTTCAGATACACATAACAGGCCATAGAAATGTATTGTAAAGTTAATTTTGGTACATAATTGTAATGTCCATCTACAGCATTAAGTACAAAACATATGCAGTAGTTTTGTGCATTAGAGCATGCCACTGCATACCTGAATACTTTTGATCAATATGGCTTGTAGTTATTCTGATGACCACGTCTTGGAGCCTTCCCATAATTTGAACTGCCTTGACCTATAAATAAGAAACCAAATGCATTAAATTAGTATTTAGTCATACTTGCAGGTATCTATAGCCAGGTCCCCTCCAAAATATACATATACTGAATAATTATAGTCTTGACAGCTACATCCTATATTCAAAAACTCTTTATTCTATAGAAAGGAAAACCACCTGGAAAACCCTGTATTTTAGAATATGTCATACTAGAATACGTACATACCTCTTCTTCCACCTCTTCCTCGGCCGCCCCCAGAACCAAACTGTTGCTGCTGATATATTTCTTTTGGCTGTGCTACCTTGATTTCACACTGAAAAGATCATAATGTAAAACAGATGTTCTTAACATACAATACTACATATACGTATCACAAGTTTTAAATGTTCAAATACCTGGATTACAAAAACACTTCCAAATAATGAAATCTGAGGGAAAATATTCTAGAAAAAACTTCTGCTGCACAGAAGTTAATACTGTACTAGAATTTATGAAATATAAGCTCAGTACCTCTTTCAAAACTGAACTTTAATCTCTCAAGCTGCATAAACCCAGTTTAAATTATTAAATTTCCATATGCTGTCTGCCACCAGGAAACAGGTTAAGCAAAATATGGTTAACTATGGCTAAATATATCACATGAACATAGCCCAGGGGTAGGCAACCTTGGCTCTTGTATGACTCGTGGACTTCAACTCCCAGAATTCCTGAGCCATTCGAGAATTCTGGGAGTTGAAGTCCACAAGTCATAAAAGAGCCAAGGTTGCCTACCCCTGACATAGCCAAAAGTGTACAATAGTCCTCGACTTAACCATTCATTTCGGAACCATTTGAAGTTACAATGGCACTGAAAAAAGTAATGTAGGAATGGTCCTCACACTTATGACAATCACAGTATCCTCAATCATATGATTAAAACTCAGGAACTTGGCAACACCCATGTATTTATGACACCTGCAGCATCTTGGGAGTCATGTGAAGCACAGTCAATGGGAGAAAATGGATTCACTTAATGAACATCTGATTCATTGACCATGGCAAAAAGATCATAAAAACCGGCACAACTCACTTAACAAGCACATTGCTTAGCAATAGAAATTCTAACCCCAATTGTGGTCTTAGTCAAGGATTACCTGAATACACCTATTTTTCATCTGATAATGCTATAAATGCCAAGCACATACGTTTTAAACCATTAGACATTGACTATAATCCAAAGCAGGGCAACATGCGCCTCCCAAATATTGTTAAATTATAACATCCACCATCCCTCATCGTTTTCATGATTATTGGAGTTATTGGCAGTTGAGGTTTGGCAACATCTAAAGTTCTAGCACTCTAGCTCCCCCACTATAAGCTCTGCTCTTAAAATATGCTTCCACATTCTACCACTATTTGTATTTTGCTTTATATCTTTCTGCTTCAAGTAGTCTATATTCTAATCAAGCAACTTCCTACCTTTGGCTAAGTTATCTAATGTTATGTTTTCATGTCTTGTTATTCAAGTGATTTTAAAAAAGTTTAAACAGCTTAATTTCCTTACTATCACAGGATCCAAGCAAATTAATAAATTAATAAAAGTTAATAGAATATACTTATTCTGTCCATTGTTTAAGAAACCTTTATCCTTCTAGCTATATTCTTAATTCAGGGCAACAACCATAGAGAAAGTAACAAAATAAAGATAGTTTCTGTTTTGAAAGCGATTGCATTTTAAAGTGACTTTAAGGGCAACATTGATTATTTCCAATGATATCACATTGGTAAGATAAATATTTTTGCCTTAGTTTGCTGTTTTTGGTTTCTCTTTATGAACAAAAAGGAAAGAAAACTAAAAATCAAGCACCATGTCACAGGTTCTGGATGCTGTAAAAGGAGTGATAAAGGCTGCTATGTTGTTGATTACCTAGCTGACCCAGGCTATTTGATAGACATACAAATAACAGCACACCAGCATTATATTTTTTTTTATATATATATATAAATATTTTTTATATATATATATATATATATATACACACAACTTGTGTGTGTATATATATATATATATATATATACACACACAACTTGTGTGCCTATGCATTCCACCCTTCCTGCCTAAATTATTTCCACGCCACTAATATTCCTTTTGTGGGAATAACAGAATCTATAGCTTCTAGGTCTGAGATGAAATGGCATTTCCATGAAAATGTAAATTAACTAATATACTACTTTCATCTATCAAACTAGCCCTGTTTTTCATTAATTTGTGGAACAAACTATGTCAAATTATATTTAATGGTAGGCTCTACATATTTCTCAAATTATATTTAGCTATTAACTAAAACTTGTTTGGGATAATGTAACGAAAAATATTATGAATCACTTTTCAAAGTGAAGTAGGAAGCATATAAGTTTAATATTGTCTAGAAACAATTAGCCCTCACTTCTGGAAAAAAAAGACATGTACACTGTAATACCATCCACAATTACTGATGTTACTTCAAATCTTTGATTATGCAAAGGAAATTAAAATAATCTGCATGTTGTTTCTAATTCTGTAGTGCAAAAACATAGATCTTGTGGCTAAAAAATTATACAGTAGATATACTATATGCTCATTTAGTCTGTTTCCTATATAGTTTCCATATTCAAAATAAACTTTGTGTAATTCTCTTACTTTTCGCCTTCCAACTATGTGCAAGTTATAGGGAGTGAATAGATTCCAATCCATTGTACAATAAGCAGCATTCCTACCTTACTACCACTGACATTGTGGAATTTTTTCTCTAAGATTTTCTTCACTGGTTCTTCTTCCTTAAATGTGATGAATACAAACCCTCTTCTTTTATTAGTCTTTGGATCCATTGGAAGTTCAATAGCTTCAATCTAAAGAAACATAGTATTTCAAGTTCACTGGAATTATGTACTACATTAACTTGTTCAGTAATTCTGGTCAATCTCTTATTTCTTCAGGGTATAACTGTCTTGTGTTAAAAACTGCAATTTATCAAAGTACTAGGAACTTAGTAGATAAAGCTATATTAATAAATATAACAAATCCAAACTATTATTGCTCTACAATTATGATTTGTATAATTTGCAAATTTCATGTAAGGATGACCATTTGGTGCTCTGAACAATTAAAGCCTATTCAAACTATTTACTATAAATATGCTTAAAATCAGTTACAAGGAAATACACAGAAATCAATACGAAAATAGATATATGGTATGCAGGCTACATGATTTGTCAACCATTTAAGAAACACCATGATGTAACCAATTCTAATTTAACTGAAATACAAGCATATAAATACATATGTATGTATATTGGACACCTGGTGTACTGAGTAACAATCAATCTCTGGGTAACATACCCCATATTTCTACTTACAATTATTGTGGATTAAAACAATTTGCTTTATTATTTTCAGGTTAAAGCTAGCCTATCTACCTAAACTTGCATCAGATTATATACCTCTCCAAACTCTCCAAAATATTCCCTGATTTTGTCTTCTGTTGCTTCTGGGTTAAGTCCACCAACAAATATTTTCTTCACAGGATCCTTTTTCATTGCCATTGCTTTCTTAGGGTCAATCACTCTTCCATCTAATTTGTGTTCTTTTTGCTCCAAAACCTACAAAGCAGTTCAACAAATCAGAATGACAGAACATTTGTAACATTAGAAGTAGTCTAAGTATCTCAGGCTATCACTCACCTTATCAACACTTGCTGCTTCTTTGAAGAGAATGAATCCAAAACCTCTTGATCTGCCTGTATTAGGATCCATTTTTATTGTGCAATCAGTTACTTCACCAAATTTAGTAAAGTAGTCTTTTAAGTCTTTTTTGCTTGTATCCCAACTAAGACCACCAACAAACATTTTCCTGCAACAAGGTAAGTAAGACACACTGAAAAATGATGACCACTATTACCATAGCAATACAAGTAGTCCTTGATTTACAAACACTGGTTTAGTGACAGTTCAAAGTTACTGAAAAAAATAACTTAGTTTTTCACACTTAAGACCATTGCAGCAGGTCACATGATCAAAATTCAAGCATTTGGCAAATAGCATGTGTTTAGGATAGTTGCAGAACCCGTGGTCATATGATCACCATATGTAACCTTCCCAGCTAGCTTCTAATAAGCAAAATCAATGGATGAAGCTAGATTCACTTAATGACATGATTTACTTAACAGCAGTGATTCATTTAACTATAGCAAAAAAGGTTGCAAAATGGGGCAAAACTCAATTGCCTTATTTAGCAATGGAAATTTGGAGATACTTACAATAAAAACTAAACAAACCAAAGTGTTTCACTAGCAGAAATCATAAAAATTAATATTCTACCTCAACAGTTTTGAGCATACAACCTCAGCAAGACCCAAACTTTGTTTAAATACCAGTTTTTTATATTAATAAGCTGGCTTCATTACAATCTTTAGATATACTCACACACACACACACACACACCGCATTTCAATTTGGCTGAGTGGAATTATGTAAAAGGATTTTTTTTGTGAGAGGAAGAGACACAATCTCTTCAAGTCCAGGCTTTCCTTAAGAAAATTTAATCGAACAAGAACAGCACACAAAACAGATAAAATATACTGCTCACAAAAATAAAGGGAACATTTTAACATGGAACTGAAGGGGTTTGCGTTCCCTTTATTTTTTTTGAGCAGTATATAATAAGGTAGCATCACTTCTACGAAGATTATGCTGGAGTTCCCTAATCATCTAAAGAAACTACATACATGCTAACTGATCTGCAATAGCTGGACCTGGGGATGCAGTTAAATTACACTGCCAGCAAATAGTTTCAGAAACATATGTTCCTGTTCATTAAAGTTCTTAAGTAGCTACTTCTGACTTCCACCGAACTAGCAGTTAATATATTTTAGGGAGAAGCGGTCGTTTACCTTTTCAACTTTTAGTACAGATGCAATGGTAGCAAGCTGTCCTCCAATGGCACTAGCATGGCACACAAAGAAGGGGGGGGAAGGCCTAGACTACTGCCATTTCAGGAAACCAGAAGCCTTACCGCCCCTCCTTCCCCCACCACCACATGGCGCCAACAAAAGGCAACTTCAAGAACAAAGGAGGCCAGACTGCTGCAGCCCCGTTTCGGCTTATTGTCTGTTTCAACGGCAAAGACCAGGCCAGAAAAGGAAGGACCTGCGCGCCAATCACCCTCCGCAAAAAACATCAGGCAGGGCAAGAAAAAGCGTAAGAATCGATTGGAGCCGAGCCAAAACAGCGGGTTCGGGCCTGTCACTCCGAGCAGGTTGTCGCCGTGCATGGCGCCGGAAACCACAGAAAGTGGGCGGGGGCAATATAACGACGCCGCTACCCTTCTTACCCCGCATCCTCCTCGTTCTTGCTTGCGTTGATCTGATCGCCTTCGGCTCCGTTCTGGCTGCCGCCAGCTTCTGCAGAAGCTACCGATTGCCCTGCCTCCTCCTCCTCGCCTTCTCCCTCGCCGTCCCCCTCTCCAGCCTCGGCCACCACCACTGCCGCCGCCACCACCTCTTCCTCTTCCTCCTCCTCTTCAAGCTGCTGCTCCGGCTGCAACAGCTCCTCGTCGCCGCCACTCACGGATCCCTCGGCCGCCGCCGCCGCGGCCGCTTCATGCCCATTTTGGGTGGCGCCAAACTGGTGCTCCACCTCGGCCATGATTTCCTAGCCCAGAGAGTGCGCCGCTGCCTCGAACCTGCGTAAGCGACAACAACGGAAGTTCTCACCGTCAGCGAGGCCTACAAAAAAAGAGAGAGAGAGAGAGAGAGATGGCGCCTCCAAACGCACGGAAGGAGCGGGCGTCCCACTTGGCCTCGCCACGCGAAGACAAGCGCCTCCCCCCCCCCCCTCGGGTTCCCGAGACTCACGTTTAAACGCCGCTCGGCTCGCGTGCCCAGGAAAAACGAAATCCGGTCCTTCAAGCTTCGTCGCGAGCGTGCTGGTCTCTGCCGATGTCGTCAGCGGCGACAGCGGCTCCTCCCCTCCCGCGCAATTTCTGACAGACAAACAGACACGACGGCGCACAGCTATCCGGGAGGCGAAAGCACGCTCCCGCCTGGCCTCCTTTTATAGGCTTCTCGGGTCGCGCGGCTACTCCGCAACAAACCTCCCGCTTACTGGCCAAGCATGTCGATCACTCATGGAGGAGCTCCGGTCTCGTTGGCTGCGGACACCCTCGCGTACTCTCCTCGGCCACGCCTCCTTTCCAACTGCTGGCTGTGCGGCCTTGCAGCTGCCTACGGGAGCGCGGAAATAGAATTGTGGAGGCCTCGCCGTCAGTAACAGACACATAGCTCCCAAGTTGTTCCCGAGTTCACTTTTCTAATGGGCGAAAGTTCTCCCGGGATGCAAGCATAAGCATTCCAGCTTCCCAGCATCTGGAAGTCGGCGTTGGCACAACGAGAACGGAACCTCGTTTCCCACTGCCCCCACATAAGCGCCGGCTGACCTTATCGTCACGTAGGAGGGCGTGGGAATGATGTCTCGGGCCGCTCCGCTTCCCGCCTTATTTATGTAGGTAACCTCGCACACCTGTGTGGGTTGCCTCTCAACCGTCCAAAAGGAAACGGCCAGGGAGCGGAGGTGCTTCAAGGAGCGCCTGGGACAGATCCCACGTGGCTGCGAAGGATTAATCAAGCCAGCCGAGGCACAGCCCCGGCTTTCGGCAACTTGCGCTTCCTGAGGCGTGTGTCCCGCTGGGCCACAGCCCCTCTGAATAACGGGGGCTACCGTTTGGCGGCAGTGCTGGAGACCGCCTGGCCCGCGGCCTTTCTGAGAGGAAGCGAGGAAAGAGAAACAGATAACAGACCAATTGGGGGTGTTACAAAGGAACAGCTGTCATCTATAGTAGCGCTGCTAGAATTGCGCCCAGTTGCTTCGTGTCATAATGTCCGGGAAATCGTGGAGGAGTGGAGAATTTTTTGCTCCCAATCAGACAATTGGTCTAGTGGTCAAAAGGATAAAGGCTCCTCCATTCCTTTGCTCACTGACTTTACTTCTTAACACCTCTTTTCAAAAAAAAAAAAGAGCAAGCCTAAGGCACAAGGCCACCATTGTAGAGGGGGGGGGGAAATCCTCCCCCATCCCAGAATACATTTTTCCAGATTAAATGCTCAAACTCACATAATCAGCTCTTTCACATTATACAAGGTTTTCTTTATAATACGTTTTTTTTAAAAAAATTGTATGGGGGAAGAGTATCAATTTTACAAGCACCTTGTAAAATGATGCTTTGGGAAGACTGCCACTTTAAAATTAAGAATTCATTCAATAATTATAAAATGTATAGCCATTACATGATTCTGCAGAAGTAAATCCATATAATTGCATCCAATTTATTATTAATTGCTGAAATATAAACTAAGTGAATGACTATCATTCTAGGATTGCACCCAAATCAAAATAATATGACTGATGGAGTTTTGATCCTTACCATTTCCAGTATTTCATCTTGTCATCAAAAGATGTATGTACAGATAACTTAATGCATTTTTATTCTACTCTTTTTAAAATATTTTTTTATCTTTTCCCACTTCACCAATTCTTTATTTTTCATTAAAATATAAAACCTACAATTATAAAAAACTTCTGTTTCAAATTGATTAATCTCATTTATGATAAATCATTGCAAATCAGATATTTAATCTTTAAAGATATCAGATATTTAATCTTTAAAGATATTAAAGATATTAATATAGTTGCTATATCTTTATGTGTGGCATTCTGAGTATGTCAGTATACTCCATGTACCTATTTACAGTGGTACCTCGGTACTCATCGTTAATTGATTCCAGTAGGTGCAAACATTTTTCCCATAAGGAATAATGTAGTAAGACACAAGGCAGCCGATACCGACAAGTTCTAGCTTATGCATCGAGTACGAAACACATGATGAATACTGGGACAAAATTTTCATGTCAAAATGCATTGAGTACCAAATTCGATGAGTTTCAAAATAATTGAGTATCAAAGTTCCACTGTATTTCATTTATGTCATGACTTCATTCAGGAACTGAAAGTAATATACACAACACTCCCTCCTTTTTTTCCTACAACAACCCTGTGATGATCAGACGGAAAGAAAACATCTGGCCCAAAGTTGCTTGGTGGCCTTCCCAAAAAGAGGTAGGACTACATTAACCTGGATCTCCCTGCTACAATTGGTGTGAAATAGGCAACACTATGTTGGCTTACATTGAGATCCCAGCTTATAATGAATAGTGTGGGCATGCTTCAAAGAAAACTGAAGTATATTTGCACTTGTGGTATACCCACCTAAATGTGTCCAAACTGGCTTCATTATTAGCAGGAAATCCTATATGTGGAATGGATATGACTAAGGCTGGTCTACACTATCTTAATAAAAACGTTATTGAATGGAATGGAGTTGAGATATATGTACTTTAAGTATATGGGCTGTGAAGATAGGAGTTTGGGGAAAGTTTGTGCAACACGGTTGTAAGGTTTTCCACTTAGCCTCCCAATTGTCCCAGCGTTACTCAGGAATTTAAAGGAGCCAAAGAAACTCCTGAGCCGAGGTTTCAGCAAGCAAACAACTTTTATTTTGATTGAAACAGAGTTGGGCGACCTTATTCCTCTTCGTGGCTGGTAGAGGAATGAAGGCAACAACTAGGAAAGATGTCTTCCACCTTTTATACCTTTTCAGAACAAAAAGATCAGTCTTTGTATCAGGAATGAAAAGCTACAGAAAAATAATTCCAAGATGATAACTCATACACAGCAATCCAGGCTCCATCTGTAACTCCTTTTCCCCTCCCCTTACCGTGCTCTTTTCATGTAAGCAATTTCCCAATATAAGGCACCTACAAAGCTGCTTGCACATGAGCAAAGTTATATATAAAATGATTACAAAATATCACTACTAATATCAAGCTTAAGCATAATAAAATCATACGCATAATAAAATCCCTTCAATCCTCCCTTTTTAATATAAAAACCGAATAAGCTTAGGGACTCTTGAAGAGGGGAGTGTAGTCAGAAGGTAAAGGTCTTAAAATCATTGCTTTACCTCAGGGGTGTCAAACTGCCGGCCCGCGGGCCGGACGCGTCACAAGGAAACCGCGCCCACCCCATTGCCGGCAATGGGGAAAAAGCTCTGATACGTCACGTGACATCGCAAGTTTGACATGTCTGCTTTAGCTGGTTATCGTTATAGATAGGAGTGGCAACAAAAGTTAGTCCGGATATAGTGGATCTAACAATTCTCTGAACAAGCAGGATAAGGCATGGTAAACACAACAACCCTCCCAAGGCCAAGACCACAATGAACAATATCCTTTTACAATTATCAAACATTCCCAAAAACCATCCTCCAACATCCAGTGCTCCTGTCCCTGTCTGGACAGGGACATGAGCCAACATTCGCATTCTGTCGGTGATTTCTTTGATATATTCATTAAATGTAATATCGGACTGGGGTCTAATAATGCAATTTAGGGCCACAATGACAAAATAGAGGGCCCATTTGGTTGGACGGTCCTTTTCTCAATTAATCTGCTAAGTGTCATGAATGGGGAAGTGAAATGAGGCAAAAGGGTTTAGAAAAAGTGAATGAAACATTCCAAGACCCCAAAATGAACACAAATGACGCTTGATATCTGCTTAGAAAATATGTTTATTCTGAATATAAAATTTTAAGAATAAATCTACTCCTATGTACACATGGCAAAGGAATGAATCTCACTCAGTATGAGTATGTGATAGTTTATAATGAACAGGTGAGAGAATTAGTGAAGGATAAATAAAGATAATGAAAAGTTCTATGGTGTTAAATAGGAGAAGCAAATAACTTTTATATGATCAAATTAAAAAACCAAAGATTTAATAAGACCTGAAAGAATAAGGTGAATTAGCAGTCTCAAATTTCAAACTGTATTATCAAGCCAGTTGTCAAGATTCTTTCTTTGAAATGTTCAGAATTAACTCATTGGTTTCAATATCTCTAAATAAGTAGCATAGTTATTGAAATTTGAAACAGAACAATCATACAAGTGAAGAAGTATATGATAAAGTGAGCTAAAAGTTTGGTTATACTATACAAATGGAACAGTGGGAAAATATGTGATTGAAAGTATTGAAGTTTACATTATGTTATATCTTAAACAGATTTTTTGTATGTCACCAGAGAAATTATCTAGAAAGTATAAAGGAACTTCAAATTTATATTGAAAACATGAACAATAAGAAGGAACATTTTATCATGTTTGATGGATATGTAAATAGCTAGAAAATTTTGGATTCAAATAATACATTGGTTCAGAAAATGTTAAAAATTACAATTGAGACCAGAGATTTTTCTTTTGGGACTGATAGACAAACAATTGGAAAAAAAGTCATAGAACTTCCTTTGTGTATATCATAACTGCACAAAGATGGAAAAATTCAACACTACGTACAATGGAGAAATGGTTGATGAATATCATGGCACTTGCTGAGGTGTCTAATTGACTTCTTTGATCAATAAAAGGCAATATCTACATTTATTGCTGACAGGAAACCCCTTATAGACTTTTTGTGTATAATAGAGGGAAATAAATTCATGTTTTATAATTTTGATAATTACACAGGATAGAGCAGGGGTGTCAAACTAGCAACTTCACGTGATGTGTCGCAACATATCACGACTTTTTTCCCATTGCCAGCAATGGGGTGGGCGCAGTTTCGCTATGACGCATTCGGCCCGCAGGCCGGCAGTTTGACATCCCTGGGATAGAGTATAGAAGGAAGAGGGTTATGTTGCAACCATACAATTTAATTGTAAAGAACTTCTGTAAACAAGATTTGCAGCTACTTCTCTGTATCTTTTTTCTATTTTTATTTTACTTGGTTTTGCATTCTTGCACTTTTAGCTTTCTCTTCGATTTCTTTGTGTGTGTGTGTGTGTGTGTCTGTGTATATATATACACACATACATACACACACTATGTATATATATACTATATATATACACTGAATATATATATATATGCAGTATATATGCATATACTGTATATATGTGTGTATATATACATACATGTTACATTATTATATTACTAAACTACAGCAAGTATATAAATCTGTGTAGCTTACTACAGATGACGAAATGGATGGAAAATTGATAAGATGTGCAAACCTGATAGACAGGTAATGGCTAGCATGTGGTCTGTTATAAGGGCTGAGTGCTAAAAAAAACAAAAATAGCTTTCAGCAAGAACTTGTTTCTGACTATTTTATGAAGATGAGAACTGAGTGTAGCAGAAGAAATATATAAGCCAGTTGAATACAATAGAAATTGACTAATAAAACAAACAGATGGCATCAAGATTAAAAGGGTAAAGAATTAGTGTGAATTGAATACGGAAGAAGTGATTGGTACAAAACTGGTAAAAAAAACCATACCATTGATGTGGTTCAGCCATATAGATATGATTACACTTATGAAATTACACACATTAGATTTCTAAATACTGTTTGCATAGCATCAGCAATTTATTGATAAGTGAAGGGAAAGGAGAAAAAGAAATATATATAAATAAATTTTATTTATTTTATTTATTTAATGAATTTTAAAACAAATGTCAATTCAAATAACAAATAACAAAATAACAGAGTTGGAAGGGACTTGGAGATCTTCTAATCCAGACATGTCAAACTTTCGACGTCACATGACGTCACGCAACGTATCGGAGCTTTTTTGCCATTGCTGGCAATGGGGTGGGCATGGTTTCCTGATGACACATCCAGCCGGCGGGCTGGCAGTTTGACACCCCTGTTCTAATCCAACCTCCTGCTCAAGCAGGAAAACCTATACCATTTCAGACAAATGGCTGTCCAATCTCTTCTTTAAAACTTCCAGGTTGGAGCATTCACAACTTCTGGAGGCAAGTCATTCCATTGATTAATTGTTCTAACTGTCAGGAAATTTCTCTTTAGTTCTAGGTTGCTTCTCTCTTTGATTAATTTCCATCCATTGCTTCTTGACTTGTCTTCAGGTGCTTTGGAGAATAGGTCGACTCCCTCTTCTTTGTGGCAGCCTCTTAGATATTGAACATTGCTATCATGTCACCCCTAGTCCTTCTTTTCATTAAACTAGACATACCCAATTAAACTAGACATACTCAAATACCAATTTGGCCTCAGAGAAAACCTCTCTACTACTCACAAAGATAAAGAGAGGGAGAGGGAAAGTCCATTCAGACAAGATTCTGTTACTGCAACCTTCAAACAAAAATAGTATTACTATTCATAACTCTGGTTTCCTAGTCTGGATTACCTCAAAAGGCTGTCATCAGCATATTTTTATCTTATGGTGCAAACATTTTATATCACTTCTGGAATAGATATTGTAGAAACAAGTGGAATGAGATTGCTTGCCTTGTAGTTATATTTTTGCCAAATATAAATCTATACAATCCATCCAATCCCCTTACATTGAATCAATGCAAAGTGTTAAAAAGTCTGGCACTTTCACAAACCCATTTAAAATGTTCCTTGAATTATTCATTGTTAAATATGGATTAAAAATGAACACAATGCAAATATATTTATTAATAACTTTAATTATCAAAAGTCTATTCATTAGATGAAGTATTTCCTTTCCACTATTGCTCTAACAGGGCTTCCAGTGAAAGATCAGCAGTTGCAAACAGTTGACTATCCATCTTTTACATTGCTTCATTTTTAGGTGGCTTTTCTGCTTTCCTAGGAAATTCTTAGGAAATTACCAATGATCCTAAGAGCAATACTGGCAGAAGAGGAATTTACTGCTGAGTGGTTCCCTTTTGCTAATTGATTGAAAGAGGAGACCAGTCTAACTGGGAGGCAACTGGTTAATGAAAGAAGTACGGTAGTAGGCTTTTCCGGGAAGGAACGGGAGTTTCATTCTTCATACAACACCACGGATGGGGCTAGTATGCAAAGCGACCAAACCCGCCTTCCAAAATGCAGGGACCTACTAGTTGGCAGAACACGTATTATTTTTTCTGATTTCTTCTGTTCCTCCAAATTTTTGTAGCCCACATCGGTAGCTTTAATTTTAAAATAATACATGTGCCGAAGTATGTACGGTTATGATAGGAACGGTCTGCCCATAAACAGGCTAGCGATGTGCTGTAAAACCTCCTAGACAGAAAATGTTAAAAGCGAAGCCAATGTACGTTTCGAACCTGACCCTGTCGGCTACCGTAGACCCTGTGTTTTCCCGGTAGTTTGACTGGTTGTCTAGCAACCGTATTTGGCGCGGTAGGGCTTAATTAGCAGGCACGTAAAGGCGATTTCTCGTTGGGGGTAGCTTTGGCTCGGTGATACCGAAAACTCACGTGCAAAATTACAAGGGGGGCGGCGGCGGCAGAGAAAGGGGGTGTCGTTTAGGTTGCAATTCTCTGCACGCTTACTTAGCACTTAGTTCATGAGATCCCGCGGAAAGAAGTGACTCATGCCGATTAGGCATAGATAGCATTACGGAGGACTGCCATCCGATCTTTTTCATCAAGGGATAAAGCCCCAGTAAATATAACAGTATTGGGCGAGTAAGCGTTGGTAAGATTTCTGTAATTACTTAGATGTTGAAATTTACAAAAAAATTGTTTAGCTTTCTGGCAAAGAAGAAAAGGTCAAATAGCTCTACTTTTCTGGATGATGCAGGAGGCACCGTCTTTTAACTTGTCATTTTGTTTTTTTGGGAAATAGGCTAGACTATTTCCATATGATTTTTAATTTGCAAGCCAATGATGAACCTTCAGCACTGCTGTCCTAATTCTCAGCTAGAGTAAATGTGCATAATAGGTGAGAAGTCCTATTTTGGCTAATGTAATGTAATTTGGAGTAAATTATTATTTTGAAAGGTCAGATTACTGTTCTTTAATTCCTCAAATAAGAACATATGTTAAAGGTATAAATAATTCTATCATTTCAGTGGGAAAAGACAACGTGAATTTTAATCTGCAAAATGCAGACTTTAATGCCCGAGCCTCAAATTTATGTTGAAAGAACCTTGGCAATCATCAAGCCAGATATTATCAACAAAGAAGTAGAAATAGAAGATATAATTCTCAGATCAGGATTTACTATTGTTCAGGTAATACAAGAGAAATTTGGATTTCTAATTTATCTTTTTCAGGGTTATGCTTTCACAAAAGAATGACAGAAAGATATTGAGGAACAAGGCCCAATTAAAATGTGATCATGTTAGATGATACATATTATTTAGTTATGAAACAGCTTGTAAGCTTATGTTGCCATAGCAATAACATAACTGAACTGGATGGTCTTTAATTACTGACCAAAACCAGTGTAAATAGAGCAGTGCATATGTCTATTAGAAAATAATTTTGTTATATGCTGTACATTGTACAACAATTGTATGCACTTTGGGTTGCTACAATACATTTTAAGTTTTAATGACAGCTGTGAAATTCCAGGATCACTAACATTAATTCACACTTATTATATACCATAATCACTTAACAAATATTCTTAATACTCTAGTGCAGGGGTGTCAAACTGCCGGCCCATGGGCCGGATGCATCATCCAGAAGCCCTGCCCACCCCATTGCTGGCAATGGCAAAACCGTCCCAATACTTTGCGCAACGTCATGTGACGTGAGTTTGACATGTCTGCTCTAGTGTGTGGGTCACTTTTTATTATGTAGAACTGCTTGAACTGATATTATTTTTATAAAATATACATACTATTTTTATATAGGAACTGACAATGCGTTCTGGAGAAATTGTGTCTATAGATAAGCTATTAAACGTTTCCACTAGATGTCACTCTTTGACTACTGGAAATTTTCAAATCAAAGACTATTTTTGTTTTTATAAAGCAACAATTCCATCTGAGATAGATAGATAACCTTTATTGTCATTTTTTACTGTGGGCACAATGGCACACAATAAAAATGAAATTTAGTTGCTAGCTCTCAAAGTCTACACATACATAACACAAATTTAAACATACTATATACAACATATGTATAGACCTACACCCTTACATATAAGTAACATATAAATATTAATCACTGTCTATCTTGAATACATAATGGAAGGAGGAAGCTTTAGAGTTCACAAGGTTAATACTGTATGGAACAAAACTGTGACTGAATCTGGACATTCTGCTTTGGATACCACGAAGCCTCCTCTCAGAAGGTAACAAAGAAAACAGGTCTTAAAGAGGATGTGTAGTGTCCCAGATAATCTTACGGACCCTGCTCAAGCAATGCTTCTGTGCTATGTCCTGCCAATGATCTTTTCGGCCATTCTCATCACTCTCTGCACCATCTTCCTGTCTGAAGCAGTGATGCTTCCAAACCAGACTGTGATGCTGTATGACAGGATGCTCTCGAACGTCCCTCTGTAGAAAGTGGTCAGGACAGGGGAAGGAAAGCATAAAGCATTCCAGTAGTAACAGTAGTAACAATAAATTTGAATGACAAGTTTGTGGTAAACAAGGATTTCATTTTAAGAACTGAGAGTGGTCTTAATATTAATTAAATTTCATTTAATATTTGTATGAAGAATTGGTACTTTGAAGCTGTCAAGAACCTGTAACTATTATTACAAGCTCCCCTATGACATCAGCTGAACAAGAGGGAGGTCTAAATGGTTAATCTATATACGGTACTAATCAGAAAGAGCTTCATACAGATTACTGTGCTTTTTTAGCAGTACAGTGTAGTTATGCAAGGTATAATATTTGATTGCTTTTGAACAGTGCATTTAGAGATATTTTTCATTTCATTTATAGAAAAGAAAGCTTCAGCTAAGTCCAGAGCAATGTAGCAACTTCTATGTAGAACAGTATGGGAAAATGTTCTTTCCAAATCTGACAGCTTACATGAGTTCTGGACCTTTAGTTGCAATGGTTCTTGCTCGGCAAAAGGCAATCTCATACTGGAAGGAACTTCTTGGACCTTCAAGTAGTATAGTAGCTAAGGAAACACATCCTGACAGGTAAATTAATTAATTACTTAAAACTATCTTAAAACGAACTTACAGATTTTACTATTGCACCTTTGATTTCACAAGTATTATCAATTTAAGACTATGCAATGTAATTATGTTTCATATAGTTAAAGAATTTACTTGTGTATCAGACTGATCTCTAAGCAATATAAAACTTCTCTGACTTACCCCTGTGCTGTCCCATGTACCTGCTATATGAATTAGGACTATTTTATAGATTAAGGGTTATTTTAATAAAGGAAGGCGACACCTAAGGGACAAATAGAAGAATCATGGCAGAGATCCATGTTACATCTGTTTTATTAAATAAAAAAGACTAATCATAAGCTTATCTTAATTGTTGCTAAGAGTGTTTGTGGGGATATTCCTGTAACTCAATGAAAGTTGCATTAGAGTCATACTAAACTGAAATTGAATAGTTTTGCACTGCATCTGTGTGAGCATATCTGTGTTGCTTTCAGTTTAAGAGCAATCTATGGAACAGATGATCTGAGGAATGGACTTCATGGTAGTGCCAACTTTTCCTCAGCTGAAACAGAAATCCGATTCATGTTTCCTGAAGGTATGTATTTACCATCTTTCCTGCTATGAAGAAACTAAAGAAACTAAATATAGCAGATTGTTGTGTAATAATGTCACCCTGTGTGTGTGTGTGTGTATATATATATATATATATATATATTTATTTTCTGAGGTTTTCGCGGGTGTTTGTATGTAGGTCTTTAGTTATTCGGGTTTTCTCCCGCGTAGAATTAAAAGTACCTTGGCGACGTTTCGACGAAGTCACATTCGTCATCTTCAGGCTGGTGTCTTCAGCTTCGTGCTTCTAAGAGTGGTTGCCAAGGTACTTTTAATTCTACGCGGGAGAAAACCCGAATAACTAAAGACCTACATACAAACACCCGCGAAAACCTCAGAAAACATATATATATATATATATATATATATATATATATATAAATATATATCGTAGAGAAAATCAATTTATTTTGTGTGTGTGTGTGTATATATACATACATCTCTACATATCATATCTCCTCACCTTTTCTCTAATTGTTGAAGGCAGCATAGATGATGGTTTCCTTAATTTTATCCTCCTAATAGCTAAACAGTGTGAGGAGTTGGATCAACCATTCACTCTCAGCTCAAAGTCAGTATAAGTTTCAATTTGCAATCTTTATCATAAGTCCTCATGCTGATATGAGACAATATTCATTTGCAACTCAAAATAAAATGCGCTAGCACAAATGAGGTTGGTATGTGTGATGCTCCTATTAGTATTTGAATTGGATATCTGCATATTTTCTGTAGGTCATTCTAGTTTATCATCAAGTCTTTATTGCATAGTTATTCCCAGCTTTTGTGAAGTTTATGGAGGTTGCAAATATTTGAAAACATAATTCAAAATGTGTTCAAACAGGCTCCAAATAGTAACAGAGACACGTGGCTGATATTGACTGCTATATTTAAGATTTTTTTTTCTTTTATGGTAATCCTTTTGTTATGGATTACCATTTGATAAGCTCAGATGAACTGTACTGTATATCAATAATAAGCTCTCTGTGGCTCCTTTTGATTTAAGACTTTTCTAGGTAAACAGAATAACAGAATAATAGAGTTGGAAGGGACCTTGGAGATCTTCTAGTCCAAATCCCTGCTCAGGCAGGAAACCCGCCTATACCATTTCAGATAAATGGTTGTCCAATCTCTTCTTAAAAACTTCCTGTGTTGGAGCATTCACAATTTATGGAGGCAGGTCATTCCATTGATTAATTGTTTTGACTGTCAGGAAATTTCTTCTTAGTTCTAGTTTGGTTCTCTCCTTGATTAATTTCCATCCATTGCTTCTTGTCCTGCCTTCAGATACTTTGGAGAATTGGTTGATCCCTTCTTCTTTATGGCAACCCCTTGATTCATAATGCAAGAGAAGGAAATTCAAGAAGAAGCTTTTTGAAAAAAAATTAGATTGTGGTTCTTGAGATGGCACTATTCTTGGTAGGAGGCCAAGCTAATGCTCCAGTTGAACCTTACATATATCTTTATCCATTTACTATATTTGTACCCGTTTGGGATTGACAAACAATAATATGATAATCTAATTAATTACATCTTGGACTGCAGCCTGCAGAGCTACAGTAGGCATATCATATTAAAGTGGCACAAATTTGGATGACTGTTGGCTGGCAAATTAACTCTTTGCTGCTATCTAGTGGTGCTACAAATTGCTGTTGTGCAAAAATATAAGTAGAAAAGCTGTAGATTTTTTTTTAAGAAGGACTAGTTCTAGAGTTTAGTTTAGAAGAAGAACTCAAAGGTGATTTGTAATGCAAGAGGAAGCTTTCTGGAAAAAAAATCTGGAAAAAAATGTGGTTCTTGAGATGGCAGTATCTTTGGTAGGAGGCCAAGCTAATGCTCCAGTTGAACTTCTGTAATATTCATTGTATATTTCTTATGTGAAATGAGTTTATGCATTAAAATCTCTTCCATGCCATCTAATCAATTATATTGTTGAATATAAACTGATTTAAAGAAGAATGATTTATATTTGGATCCTAGGTTCAATATGACCCTTCTGGAAAACATGAATTGAATTTGTTTATTATCTGGCAAACAAGGTATGATTTCAAATCTTACCTGAAGAGTCCATGTGGAATCAGTGGCATACACATATTGTAAAAAAAAAAAGGCTTTATTTTTTACTCTCCCATAGTTAATTATTATGAGTAAGTTCACAACGTGACGGAGGGGAAAAAAACAAAATTTAACGTGTTGTTATACTGAAATACAGTACAGTAGTTTTCTTCATGACATTCTTGTCTGGATTTAAAAATAATAATAATCGTGATTTCAGCATGAAATGCTATTATCTATGAGAAGACAAGCATGGAATATGTGTTCAGCAGTAGAAGGCAAATTATTGGTTTTAAATCAGTATATTAAATGTATTTCTTTTTTTTTTCAGTATTGATTGAACCAATTCCAACTAAGCAAGCTGCTAAGGATTACCTTAATTTATATGTCATACCTACTCTACTGAAAGGACTGACAGCGCTATCTAAGAAGAAACCAGCAGATCCTTTTGTATGTATCACAAGAAAGACCCATATCAAGAGGCAGAATGAGTATGAGATAACAACTGGTCGCCTTACTTTGCTAAGGAAAAAATGTCCCTTGCTCCATAACAGATAGAAATCCAAAGGAAAAATTGATGGTTGATAAGAGCAGTAGTTGTTTATATGCATATTGAGTTTGGTCCCTTCAAGCTAGAATGCCCATAATTGGTGAGCCTTTGTGTTTCAGGAGCAGTCTAGACTGACTGCCTCCTTCACCATCACCTACTCAGACACACTGGTATATTTTCAAAAGCAAAAAATCATTAAAAGAAAGGTTTAGGAATTTTAAAGAGTTTCTACTTTCCTCACTGTTTTATAAAAGAGAAATATTAAAGGAATTTGGTCAGGAGACATACAGAGTTTGAATGCCTCCTGTTAGCAAACCGTATCTTGATACAGAAATTAAGGGAGGAATTTTGTTGTTGCTCTTTTGGATAGATATGGCTGGCTGATTGGCTAATCGAAAATAATCCAAATACACCTAAGTTGCGGAATAATGTGATTGTGGAGGAACCTTAAAAGAAGAGACTGCCAGTTAAATCTTAACCAATTTCCTGCAAGTATCACCAGTATCCATATTTGGGCCTTAAACTAATAAAGAATATTTGTTGCAATTAAGGCATAAAACTAACAAGTGTATTTATTTGTCTAGTTCAGCTTTTTTTTCAACTGCTGAGCTCTGGCATATTTGTGTACTGCAAAAGGTTCATAGGTGTGCCCTATTAGTGAGCCAGTCTAAATGATAGGAAGTGCTGTGCAGTCAGAATACCGCTTTCGTGACATCACTGAGGATGGACTGCCTCCATTTCTCAATTTCATCACCTGATTCCCCAGCAACTTGTGATGTCACAAGACTTCCAGTTTATCCATCTAAAAATCCTTCATGCCATAAGATGAAAAAGACTCATCTAGTTTATATCTCACAGTTATCCAGATGATAAAAACAACTAACCCGAAGATCCCCATTTTACCTCAACAGACTTGTGAGAGAGATTGGTCTCAGAGTCACTAGCTAAAAACTATTCAGCTTTTAGATGGATTTGAAACAGAGTCTCCCTAGTTCTTGTTAATTGCTACCACAAACTGTCCTTAGTTGGTATAGAGAGTTTGATATAAAAGGATAGATCCCAATTAACTTGCACAATCCTTTATTTGTATTAAAGCAATTAATTTATAAAAAACAAAAATATATACTTTTATTGATGCATGCAGGCATTGATAGTAAAGAAAATGTATTTGGACAGAAGTTTAATCAACATTTTAAAGTTTTTTTAGATCACAATATAAATACAGTTAGTCCTCGACTTACAGCCACAATTGAGCTCAAAATTTGAACGGTCACTAAATGAACTGTTGTAAGTTGAGGACTATCTGTATTAACAAATGAAAATTAATACATAACTAGTTTTCCTAACTTAAATGGTAAAAATTCTCTTAAAATGTACATACGCAATTTATTACCCAAACTGGCCTCTGCTTCTAAATATTGGAAAGTAGCTGGTGTACTATTCCTATTTTTAGAGGAGTTCTGAATATGATAGAAAGGGATCCAAATAATCAGGGCTAATAATGCCTGATCTGAATAAACACATGAAAAGTATTGTTAATAATACTTAATATTTATTAATAATACTGAAACACAAAAAATGCCTTAGTAAAAGTATCCTATTGATATTTTTTTGCAAAAAGAAAACTTGTTGATTTTTATGAACAATTCCATGTGGGTAGTAGTGGCCTGATGGACAGTACATGAGAAAAATATTTTGTCATAGTCTCTCCAAAATGTCCCTCAATAAATGTAACATTGATATAATGAAATAGAAGCATAAGATAGGCATTTAACTAAAGAACAAAAAGCCAAGAATAGTTTTTAGAATTGGCAGGAGAAAGCAGTGAGGTCTGCCAGAAATCTGCATGTGGATAATTGCTGTTTAAATTGACCCTGGATATTTTGGATTTTGAGTTGAACAATGAAACCCCCAATTTTGCAGATGACATTAAATTATTTAGTACTTCATATTAGGCAGTACAAAATAGTGCATTTTAACCATTATTATTAAATAAGCCAGATGGTTGAGTTCCTATGACATAGTAAGCTAAAATGAGAGTGTGATGTAGCACAATGCATGTCCTCGCCATTTAATGTTTTGGAAAATCTTTGTGCTATGGTGGGCTGTCTCAAAACATCAGCTCATGGAACATCAGTTTAAAATATTTGTGGATTTTCTGCAGGCCTGTTACTAACCATTGGAAAACTAAATGCTGCAGTAGGTAAACCTTCATTTAAATTCAGCTATATCTTGTGCCTTATTTCCTTTAAAAGCAGTTCCTCTGCCTAATATGGTGTAAGTTACTTGGAGTAGGATAAGAAAGTCATTTGGAGTAGTCATCCAAATTATTACTCCACTATTGGTGAAAATACATGGTTACTAATTATGCCAGAGGTTTTCAAATTTTGCAGTACTATGATGCCTTAAAATGATAAACAAATCTCTTTGCAGTGGCGTAGCGTGGGTTGTCAGCACCCGGGGCAAGGCAAGTAATTTGCGCCCCCTAACCCGTGGATTTTAGCACTTTCCCACCCCCACTGTTTCTCTTCCTCTCTTCCTTCTCCCCTCACTTCTTCGGTGCGCGTTTGCTGGGAGCCCACCCAGATTTGAGCATCTTGGATTCCGACTCTTTCTCCCACACTCC